TGCGGAGAGGATTTGTGCCGTAAGCTGGCATCTTCTGTGTTATTTCGTCAGCCACGCTACTCTGTAGTTCGGAGAAGTTCCCTCCCTCTGGACATCTCACGAATTAATCGTCGGGATAGGATTTAAACCGCAGTTGATAGCTCAGGTCAATATTACACGGGAACTGCTGAGTTGGCATTCGTCACGCGACTGACATCCCTGGTCAAGTCAAGTTTTTACAAGTTAAAGAAATCTTCGTCAAAGTGCAAGACCCGGAGTAAGATCGGCACAAGATCATGTCAGCCCAATGTCAGTTCACTCAGTCGGACATATTTCCTGTGCTCTTCCTGTTTACACAAAACTCGTAAGTTAGTACTTTAGACAAGGTTTGTTATACTAGCCGATTCGCCACATATGGGCATGGAAAACCATTAAGCTAGACGCTTGCATAGCACATCTGATGACAGGGCTGTTGTGACTTATTGATCAAATAATTCATGCGCGGCCAGACACAAAAGCTAACTGGTAATTACAGACAAATTGCCGAGGTAAAGGCGCCAGACGTAAGTTGGTTGCGGTGGGGGGGGGGGGGGGGGAGCAAAAGGTCATCATATGGAGGATGTCTCAGTCCCCGGTTAGATGAAATGTATTGTCCGAGATCTGAAGCTATTAAAGCAAGCGCTTCATGCGATGAAATAAACCTAGTTATAACCATTAGTATTATTTTAAAGGGATGCTCCACGTTTGTGTAGGGTTTGGATTTGAAATAGCCATGTTGAAGATCATTCAGTGGAATTCACAGCCCTGCTCTGCTTGAGACCTAAATCCATTTTATTTCTGAGCTACACGCCGCGGGAGATGTGCAAACTATTTCACTGCAACTATTCCACGGCCACCCAGGACATCCATGACGCCATAATAACGCTATTAAAATCCCGCCATTCCACTAGCCATGCAGCGATCAAGCCCAAGAAGACATAATTATCGAGTCGGTCATATCTGGCGCTCGCATGAGCACAATTTCCAGATATAACAGCCGTCAGTTGACTCCCAGTCAATGTTGTGCAAGGTACAATGACAATTAAACAATAACGTTTTGAAGAGCGTATTCAATAAACAGAGAATTTATGTTGTGTAGAGCAGTGTTTTCAACTTAAATCTATACCAACAGCTGAAAGTAGGCTCATTCCATTATATCTGATATTTGGCTCAACATCTTCAAACGTGAAACATTCCCTTAAATAAGATATTTTGATAGACTAGCGCAGGACAACTATCCTATTATTTTTGAAGTTTTCGTCTTAAATCTAAATGAAAGGGGCCAAAATTGGCAGCATGCTTGCAAAGAGAGTCAAAACACCTCCGATACCCGAATGTAAAGCTAGTGATTTTAGGTGCACGTTTCCTGCTTGATAGCCGAGTGGACATGAACCACCAAACTCCAAAGTTTGACAGCCATCGGTTGCCACGGGGTGAATGGATCAGGCACATTGGTGCTTAGGCGATCAGTTTCAAAGTTTGACAGGCGATCTCTCTGCAGTCAAATGTCGTCCTAGTTTGGTCTGGTACTGGCTGACTTAGCGCCGCTGTCTGCCAGCAACAGAGAGGCGAAAACCGCCAGCGGTGTACAGTTGCGGGGCACCGGCAACACCTCATGTTTAATCAGGCTTTGGTAAAACTTGGCCCTTGTACTGCAACGTTAATCGGCAGAGTACGAGTGGTGTGTTAGTCGCCGGTCTCGCGAACTTCAAGAGGTCTGGAATCGGACAGTCAAATGTTGATATCGTCGGGGAAAGTGACCTTTATGTCAACCGAAAAGGTAGGCAGCGCCTGAAAGGTAGTGAGGTTACATGCCAACGTTCTATGCGACACATCATGACTGAAGTCACTTAACCGAACGTGAACTCCAAACTGATCGTTCATTGGCATACATTCGCGTTTCGTCACTGGTGTACGCAGACAGCACAGCCCGATAAACTCTTTGGACTCTCAACGAGGGCACTCTTTGTCA